CAGTAAGCTGAGATAGCGCCACTGTTCTCTGGCCTGGGCAACGAGCGAAATTCCATCTCAAAAAAAAAATTAGCCATCGTGGTGGCATTGTGCCTGAAATCCTGGCTACTCGGGAGGCTGAGGTGGGAGGATCACTTGAGCCCTGGAGGTTGAGGGTGCAGTGAGCTGTGACTGAGCCGCTACACTTGAACCTGGGCAACAGACCAAAACCCTGTCTCGAAAGGAAAAAAAAGGCATTTAGCTTGTTATGTTAGAAGCAAGATTGAGCCAGCTATGTCAGATTTCTTTCACTGTCATAAGATTTGGAAATGTACATTGAAAATTAGCAAGAGGCTGAGCGCTGTGGCTCATGCCTGTAATCCGAGCATTTGGGGAGGCCTAAATGGGCATATCACCTGAGGTCAGATGTTCAAGACCAGCCTGGCCAATGTGGGCAAACCCCGTCTCTGCTAAAAATAGAAAAATAAGCTGGGCATGATGGCAAGTGCCTATAATCCCAGCTGCTTACTAGGCTGAGGCAGGAGAATTGCTTGAACCCAGGAGGTGGAGGTTGCAGTGAGCCGAGATCGCGCCATTGCACTCCAGCCTGGGTAACAAGAGCGAAACTCCCTCTCAAAAAAAAAAAAAAAAAGAAAAGAAAAGAAAAGAAAAAAAAGAAATGTAAGAAAACAAGGCCGGGCGCGGTGGCTCAAGCCTGTAATCCCAGCACTTTGGGAGGCCGAGGCGGGTGGATCATGAGGTCAAGAGATCGAGACCATCCTGGTCAACATGGTGAAACCCCGTCTCTACTAAAAATACAAAAAATTAGCTGGGCATGGTGGCGCGTGCCTGTAATCCGAGCTACTCAGGAGGCTGAAGCAGGAGAATTGCCTGAACCCAGGAGGCGGAGGTTGTGGTGAGCCGAGATCGCGCCATTGCACTGCAGCCTGGATAACGAGCGAAACTCCGCCTCAAAAAAAAAAAAAGAAATGTAAGAAAACAAGGAAGAAAAACAGTCGTCAGTGACAGTCAGGGAAGCCTGTCATAACCAAGTAACCTGTTCTCTAATTTCACCTCGATGAGATTTTAATCTCTGCAGATTCATTTGTATAAGTACAGAATGTGGGATTTGCAAGCATATACATTCCTCCCTGCTCAGCTAAGATGTAATCTAAGGCGATTCTATTATCTAAGACACCTGAGCCAGTGAATGACTTCCCCTCTGCTGAGTGGCCTTGCCAATGCCCTTTTCTCAGCAAGAATCCCTGACGTCAGATTCCTCTTCCTGTGCTCATGGGATGCCACTCCCCACCAAGTCACCTAAAGACCCAGGTCCATCTTTTTGGCATCCAGGATCCCCAAGGTGAGTCTGTGGACTGCTTAGTTCTGCAGCCTCCACCTCTCGGGTTCAAACGATTCTCCTGCCTCAGCCTCCTGAGTAGCTGGGATTACAGGTCCCTGCCACCATGCCTGGCTAATTTTTGTATTTTTAGTAGAGACGGGGTTTCACCATCTTGGCCAGGCTGATCTTGAACTTCTGACCTCCTCATCCACTTGCCTTGGCCTCCCAATATTCTGGAATTACAGACCTGAGCCACCATGCCCAGCCCAGTTATGGGTTTTTAAAGGTGGAAAGGCAGAGGTCACAGGCAAAGTCATAAATCAGTACATAGAGACTGTACATTGGTTTTGGAATAAACACCAAGGAGACCTTGAAGCCGGGGCCCACAGGTCATAGGTGGATTCGAAGATTTTCTGATTTGGTGTTGGTTACGGAGGCAAAGCTTCCTAAAACTTTGGGATACACAGTAAAGGATGTTAGCTTGGGGCTGTGGGCATGGCCTTCCCCGGGTCCGCAGGAAGAAATTTAGGTAAGAGAAGGGTGATCAGAAGTCAGCCCTCAGCTCCAGCTCATCTGAGATCTGTTTGCCAGTGCACCCCTTTGGTTGGGGTCCCAGTTTCTGAAAAGCAACTCAGGAGCACCTGCTCAGATGGCATGGCTCTCTTCCGTGGAGACCCTTAGGACTCTGGCTTCCGGCTGTTGTTCTAAACCCCTGTGACCTTTCTGCAGATCGGCTGCTCACTCACTTCTCAGGGCCGGCTGGGTGCCTGGATTGCCCTTGAAGGAACTCAACAGTGTCCTTGTTTCCATGCTTGGGGGGACCCACAGGCCCCTAAGAGGGGTCCCTGTTTGGTTTCAGGAGCAGCAGGTGCAGAGGCCCTGGGGTGAGAGTGGTGAGATGTGAGGCCAAAGCAGTGGGTGAAGGCCAGGCTGCACTGGGCTTGGGGGGCCACAAAGGTGTGCTCTCCTGAGGTCAGGCGGGGCCAGGAAAGGCAGCGGGGATGCCCAAGACAGCAGCCACTGCTTTTGCTTCTGTTTGGAAGATGGGTGGCTGCGGGAGCCTGGCTGTTCCAGGTCACTTCTCTCCCTGTCCCAGCCCCATCTGCCAGGTGTCCTTCCTTGGGGCCCTTGATGGCCCCTGAGCCCCTCCTCCCCCTCCCCAGAACCTTTGGTAGTGGTGTCCCCCCTCGGGGACTAACAATCTCATTAGCGTGGCACTGAGACGCCTAATCAGCTCACGCAGCAGCAAGATAAATGCCCGGGCTGGCATTGCGGAGGAAGGCCCAGCACTCACCGTGGCCCTCTGAGACCCGCCCTGCACTTGGTGAGTCATGACGAACCCCGCTGTCTTTCCTGGCGGCCACTTCCCCAGAGAGTTAGCGCTGGTCAGCCCATTGTCCAGGGGCCGGGGGGCCGACAGGCTTTACCACTGTGCCTGAGGTCCGGGTGTGCAGAGCGTACCCGCTGCCACCCCGTTATTCAGAGAGGACACAGCCAACCACATCCTCTGCTCCCGCATGGTACCCGGTGCTGCCACCACCCCCAGGCCAGCGATGCTCTGGGAACCTCAGGCCACATGGGCTCAGCTGACTGAGCGGACGCCAGTCACAGGCTGGGTCCGGCCAGGGCAGTGCAGGCAGCGGTCTCCACGTGGACGGCATCTGATGGCTGGAGCTCCCTTGGGGCCCAGAGCTGCTCAGGACAGCCCGTGTCCCGGCGCTGGGGCAGCAGCTGGCCAGGCCTGTGCGGTGTGGGACACGAGGGTCGGGTACCGTGGGATCTGAGCAGCTGGTACCACCAGGCTCTTGAGTCCTGGTTTTGCACAGGCTGGTGCCAGTCCCAGGGACAGAAGCTGAGCCTTAGGAAGGGAAGATGCCAGGGCAGGGTCCACCACAATCCCAGGTGCCCAGCACCCCTTGCAGAGCCCTTCTCCCTAGAAGGGGCCATCTGCCCTTGCTTTCTGGTCACTCCCATGCTCGGCTAACAGCTGGTGGCAGCCCAGGGCCAGAGTCAGGAATCCCAGCCCACAAGACCAGGGGCAGGAAAGGGGACGCGAAGAGGTGGGCCCTGGGGCATCCAGTGTGGACAAGCCCCTCCTGTGTGTGTCATGTGCCTCCTTCCAGAACCTTCCAGCACATGTGCTGCTGGCAGCTCACTGGGAGATTAGGAATCCCCCTCCACTGTTAATAGGCTTAGGGGAAGCTCAGCTGCCCTTGGCCCAGGTCACTGGGGCTTAGGGCATCTGGGGAGAGGCTCTAGGGAGAGGAGGAAGGGAGGTCACCCTGTGCAGTGGTGTAAGGACCCTGGTCTTGTCCAGAGCAGCTGAGGCCACTCAGCCACACCATGCCAGGCGGGTGACCCTGCTCCCTGAGCTGCCTCTAGGCACAGAGAGGGCCTGGGGATTCCACCAGCAGGGGAGACGCACCCCTAGCACCCACCCTCCCAGAAGCTCAGCTTGTCCCTCTGTGAAGTGGGCCTCGGGGGAAGCAGGGCTTCACAGCTCCGAACCACTTACTGAGACAGGCCCCTTTTCCAGGGCAGCCCTGCCTGGGAACCCTGCCTCCCGTTCTGTGGGTCATTCTCTGTCAGCACTGAGGGGTACCCCTCATGGTGCTGAGGGACTCAGGGATATCTCCGTGAGTGGGTGAAAGTAACGGACAGCACCCCATCTGCAAAGCACAGACAGGCCGAAAGCAATAAACCCATCAGCAAGAATCAGAGGGCAAGGGCCGGGCACGGTGGCTCACACCTGTAATCCCAGCATTTTGGGAGGCTGAGGTGGGGGGATTACAAGGTCAGGAGTTCGAGACCAACCTGGTCAATACAGTGAAACCCTGTTTCTACTAAAAATACAAAAAAAATTAGCTGGCATGGTGGCACATGCCTGTAGTCCCAGCTCCTCCGAGACTGAGGCAGGAGAATTGCTTGAATCCAGGAGGCGGAGATTGCAGTGAGCCAAGGTTGCACCACTGCACTCCAGCCTGGGCAACAGAGTGAGATTCTGTCTCGAAAAAAAAAAAAAATAAAGTCAGAGGGCAACAGCCCTGGGAGACACTCACCAGCCTGGAATCAGGGCTAACGCAACATGAGATGTGAAGCCGATCAGAACCTGAGGACGCAGTGACTGCGGGGCGGGGTTCAGGGGAGGCTTCCCTGAGCGGGGTCGTGAGATGGGCCGCCCACTGACCATCAGGAGGGGCAGCTCAGAGGCGGGCTCATCTGCAGAACCAGGGGCCCACTTGGGTCTCGTCCCAGTCCCAGCAGGGGCCCCAGAGGACTTTCCACCGAGTGGCAGTTGGATGCCCACTCCAGTCATGCTCTCCCGGGGTGGGGAATGTGGGGATGGGGCAGGAGGTCGTCTGAGGACTGCAGGCTCAGGACCTGAGGACACGGGCTGGGTTTGCTGTGGACTGTGCTGTGGGGTGAGGGAGGCTGGGATATAGGCAAGAGGCCGGAGCTGTATGTGGCCAGGGCACACCCACCAGGCAGGGGAATGGGAGCGTGCGGTGGGCGGGAGCAGAGCTGGCAGGCTGCTGCCCGGAGCGGATCACAGGGGCGGCTGTCCGGGTGGCGCTGGGGCTGGCAGGGCTGGGTCTCGGCCCCTCCGCCAGTGGGTTGAGACCCCCACGGGGTTGGAAGCCAGAGGGCTAACTGGGACCCGGGCCTGGTCTGCCCCCAGACCGCAGCAGGAAAGAGTCCAGGAGCCAAGGTTGCCGCAGCGTCTCCGTCAGCCTCGCCATGAACCTGGAGCCGCCCAAGGCTGAGTTCCGGTCGGCCACCAGGGTGGTCGGAGGACCTGTCACCCCCAGGAAAGGGCCCCCCAAATTTAAACAGCGACAAACCAGGCAGTTCAAGAGCAAGCCCCCCAAGAAGGGCGTCCAAGGGTAAGCAGAGTTGGGGGAGAGGGCCTCTGAAAGGGAGGAGGCGGCCCCCCAGGACTCACAGGAAGGAGCGGGCGCAGCAGGGCCTTGGGCCACTTTCCTGCCTCAGTGGTCCCAGCCTCACAGCTGGGGTAGGCAGGGCGGGAGTCACCCACTCCAGATGCCACTGCCAACGATGCTGGGAAAATACAGCCACCTCCACATGCACACAAGAGGCGCACTCACAGACGAGCCACCCTCGCAAATCCACACTCAAACCAGGCACCCACCACAGCCCGCTCCGTGCTCCACCAAGGCGCGCACCTGCCCTGCACCCCAGGGTTTGCCCCTCCTTCCTGGGCCTGAGCCCTGTGAGGCTCTGGGTAGCAGACACCCTGGCTCTGTGAAGGAAGCCCCTCAGCCCCACCAAGCCTCGGGAGGTTGGGGAGGAGGCGGGTCTCTGCCCACTGGACTCCCAGCCAAAGGCCTCATCTCCTGGGAGGGGTAGAGATGACCTCGGGCCTCAGCCAGACTGAGCCAGGGCTGGGCCCGGCCGTGTCCCTGACCGCTCTGTCCTTGCAGGTTTGGGGACGACATCCCTGGAATGGAAGGCCTGGGAACAGGTACGATGCCGCCAGTGCCAGGTCTGCCGGGTCCCCCCAGGCACACCCAGCACACCTGGGCCCATTGCAGCCCACCTCGGCCCCGACCCGCCCTGCTTTTCACTTAGGGACCCCAGCCTGTCCTTCACTTCTTCCCCCCACACTGAGCTCCAGGTCCACTGGGTGGGACTGTTCCCATTTGGGACCAGGTGAGGGGAGGGATCTGGGAAGGAACAGAACCCTTTGCTGCGTCCTCCCCCTTCAGCAAGCCCCGCCCACCTTCCCCCACAGCCAGGGTCCACACATCCCTGCTCAGCACACCTGTGCTGTGGGAATCGGCCACAGGGGATGGGCGTCGAGGGGGATGGGATCCTCCCTGATCCAGGGCCCCTTTCTCCCGCAGACATCACGGTCATCTGCCCTTGGGAGGCCTTCAACCACCTGGAGCTCCACGAGCTGGCCCAATATGGCATCATCTAGATGAGGGTCCCAGATCCTCCCCACCACTGCCTGCTGTGCTCTGAACCCTGCTCAGGATTCCTGTTGAGGAGACCCCTCACTAGCCCAGGTGGCACCTGGACACCGGGGTGGGGCTGCGACCTCAGGTCCCTCCCTACATATTAGTACCAGTCACCAGTAGCCCACCACCTCCCTCCAGGACGCCCGCTCAGGGGCTGTCATCCCAAGACACTGGCCCCCTCTCAGTCCTGACAGAGAGGGTTGGCGAGTCTCTGCTCCTAGGGAGAAGGGCAGGTGGCCGCAACCCAGGAGCCTGCTGGACCCAGATCATCCCCTCCTCACAGCTGGAAAGCTGGGGCAGGGTCTCCCCAGAGTGCTCCATACCCCAGCCCCCCCTCCTGCCTGTCTGGGGTGCAGAGAAGCTCCCCCTCTCTGGAGCCCTTCCCAGGTGGGTGCCCTTGGTTTGGACCTGCTGAGTAGCAGGAGTCCAGGGTGTGTCTGGTGAGCAGATGAGGCCCCAGGCTCATCGCACCAGGAGGCCATCCTTCTCAACACAGCCCACCCATGCCGTCCCTATTTCAAAATAAAATGAGTGTGCCCTCGCTTGTCCGTGGTGTATTTGTGCGTGGGACAGGGCCTGTGGTGGGGTCACTTGAGCAGGAGCATATGGGTGAAAGGGTGGGCAGTGGAGGGGCTGGCCTGGCTGAGCAGGAAGGCAGCTCATGGGATCACACCCTCACTGAGCCTTGCTGGGGCCCTGAGACCTGCAATATCAGGCCACGGCTGGGTCAAGGCAGACGGCCTTGGTGCACACTGAGGGGTTACAGTCAAGGACGTGTGCAGGCGGCTGGGTCGGGCCTCACAGAGAAGGCGAGACTGGACATGGCTCACATCACATGCCGTGAGGCCAGAGCTCCTACTCCCATGGCACAAGAGAGAAACTGAGTCACAGTGACACTAGGAACTGCCCCAGAGCGCACAGCCAACTTGTCCTTGGCGCCCACTAAAACCATCTATAGCTGGGTGCAGTGGCTCATGCCTATAACCTCAGCACTTTAGGAGGCCAACTCGGGAGGATCACTGGAGCCCAGGAGCTCAAGGCCAGCCTGGACAACATAGCAAGACCCCGTCTCTATTTGAAAACAATGAGGCCGGGTGTGGTGGCTCATGCCTGCAATCTCAGCATTTGGGAGGCCAAAGTGGGCAGATCATTTGAGCTCAGGAGTTTGAGACCAGGCTGGACAACATGGTAAGACCCTGTCTCTACAAAAAATAAGAAATCAGCTGGGCGTGGTGGTGTATGCCTGTAATCCCAGCTACTCAGGAGGCTGCATCAGGAGAATTGCTTGAACCCGGGAGGCAGAGGTTGCAGTGAGCTGAGATCATGCCACTGTGCTCCAGCCTGAGCAACAAGAGCAAAACTCCGTCTTTTTTTTTTTTTTTTTTTTGGAGATGGAGTTTCGCTCTTGTTACCCAGGCTGGAGTGCAATGGCGCGATCTTGGCTCACCGCAACCTCCACCTCCTGGGTTCAAGCAATTCTCCTGCCTCAGCCTCCTGAGTAGCTGGGATTACAGGCACACGCCACCATGCCCAGCTAATTTTTTGTATTTTTTTTTTTTTTAGTAGAGACGGGGTTTCACCATGTTGACCAGGATGGTCTCGATCTCTCGACCTCATGATCCACCCGCCTCGGCCTCCCAAAGTGCTGGGATTACAGGCTTGAGCCACCGCGCCCAGCCGAAAACTCCGTCTTGGAAAAAAAAAATACAGAAATAATTGCCTGGGTGTGGTGGGCACCTGTACTTCTAGCCACTCAGGAGGCTAAGGTGGGAGGATCGCTTGAGCTGGGGAGGCAGAGGCTGCAGCGAGCTGAGATCCTGCCACAGCACTTCAGCCTGGGTGACAAAGTGAGACCCTGTCTCAAAACAAAACAAAAACAAAGCATGGCCATCTGTGATGGGGGTCCGGCTCCTGACACCACATCCAGGGGAAGCCGGAGCAGTGCAAGCTGGCCCAGCAGCAGGGGTCCTCACACTAACCCCGTGCTCACACGGACCAGTCCATTCACAAGAAGGTCCAGATCTGACTCTGGACAGACCCTCTGAGATTCCACTCATGTGAAAGCCCGAAACAGGCCCCGCTGGCCCCAGCAAGTCAGAGCATGGCATTGAGCATGCCAGCAGGGCTGGAACTCCCCGCTGGGACCTGGGGCGGTTCACAGGCTTAGATGGGTAAGAATTCCCATGCTGCCTCTGAAGATTGGTGTCTTTACCATGTGAATAATACACTCCAATAAAGCATTTCCTCCCTCCCCAAAAATGCACTGGAGGGAGAGGCCTGGACCTCAGCTCCTCCACCACAAGCCCAGAAGGGGTGGCGGCCCTGGGGAGGGAGTGTCAGTGTGATAACCTGCTTTCTGCCAGCTAAAACGAACTCTCTTTCTCAGACTAAAAGCTGTTCAGGCTTTATGTTAGCTTCTTAAGCCAGACAGACTTCATCTTAGGTACTTCATTTTAGTGATTTTCCCACCATTAAGTAACTGTAGTATGTAGCTGGGGCAGGCTGACACTGGGCACCCAGGAAGGCATTTGTTGATAAGAGGCTGAGGTAAGTGGGACCAGCAGAGCCTGGGAATGCAGGTGCAGGGAGCGCCCAGAGCCCTCATTATCTGTAAGTTGTATGTCTTTCATGACATACAACTTTCATTGTATGTCTTTTACCCCTCGCACCTGGCACTGTTTTATTTCTCATGCACAGGTTTATCTTTTAACTTTTTGATTAAGCTGCTTCTGTGGAAAATTGGCTTCAGCTAAGTTCCCCGTCCCTTTTAAAACTAGGGCATAAAAGACCGCCTATCTTTTTCGTACAGGCGGAGAGAATTTTGGGCATTAGCCACCTCTTGGTTGCCAGCATAATAAAGGACTCATAATTCAATCTCAGAGTATGGCGTATACCTCGACTGGCTCAGGTACAACATCAGGAGGTGGGAGCAGTGTGGCCGGGGTGGGAACCGGGGCTTGGGTCGGCTCCAGGATTTCCTCCTGCCCTGTGCGTTCCTCCGCCAGCCCGGTGGCTTCGCCCTCCGTTGGGGGCTGGCGTGGGGGACGAGGAGCGTGAGGCATGGGCAAGCTGGGTAGGTCCCCCGGCAAAGGCTCCAGAAGCCCACGCAAAGCCAGGCGGCGGTGGGTGCAGCGCGTTTCGGCTGGGTGGGGCCGCCCCAGACCCCTGTGCAGGTGTGCGCTCAGCCCGGGGCGGTTTGGCAGCAGGCGCAGCGCGGGGGCCGGGGCTCGGGTGGCCAGTGTCGCCCTCCCGCGGCGCTCCGGGACCTGGCGCCGCGCCCCTGCGGGCAGCGAGGGCCCTGAGCAGCCGGGCGGCCAGCAGGAGCTCCGCACCCTGCAGCAGCACCACCGCGATGGCGTAGCCGCCCGCAGCCGCCAGGTGAGCGCTCAGCCACTGCTGGAGCGGCGGGCCGCAGCCCTCCAGGTACACCACTCTGCGGGCTGCATCCACATCCAGGCCCAGGACCCCAAAGCCGCACTGGTCGTTGACAGAGGCTCCATCTTCGCGGGGGTCGATGCAGCAGGAGGCCGGAAGGCTGCAGGCCTGCACCCCGGGGGAGCTGCAGTTGAAGTACCTGCGAGGCAAACGGGGCGGCGGCGTCAGCTCTGGCGGGGAGGGCCCGCTCTTCCGGAGCCAGGCACGGAGGTGAAGGTCGCCTACCCACCTCCACCCTCCCGCGGCCACACGGGCACATGCACACACACCCGCACGCACCGACCCACACAGCACCCGGCTCTCTCTGCTGTATCCCTGTGCGTGGCAGCGCTCTGGCTTGCAGGCAGGGGCGACGGCTGCATAGACTAGCAGGAGAATAGTCAATGCGAACCAGACCAGCATTGATGAGGGTGGAAGTGAGCTGCTCTGCTCATGTGAGCTCATTGAGGAGGTAGAGTTGGAGCGGGGGAGGGTAGATGGAACTCTGGCAGAGGCTTCTGGAATGGTCCACAGGTCTTACGGGTTAGAGCAAGGGCTTGAGAGGGAGTACCCGGCAGTGACAAAAAGCAGGGGCCGGGTAGGAACCCCCAGGGTGTCTTGGGAGTGTTGAACTCATCACGGCCTCCAGGTCAGGCAGTCCCCAGGTGCCCTAGGCATTCACCAGTGTCCCGGGCTCTGCACGTGGCCCAGCAGACCTGCAGGCTCATCCCCACGGCCCCTCCACTCTAGAAGAGTGTGCCCCTCCCAGGCAGGTGAGGGGGTCGATGCCAGCAGCAGACCAGGCATCATGACACTCTAAGGGGGCTGCCACCAACCCAGTCACATGTCAAAAAGCCACCTATGTGGTGCTTCCCAGAGTCTGGTGCCTGGAAGGGCCCCACCCATTAGCCACCGCTGGGTACCGATGGCCAGTTTTTAGGGTCGCCTATGACTTCACCTCTTGTGTTCAGTTGCCCCTGGATACACGCACCAAGAAGGCGTGTAGTCTGTCCTGGTTGTGGCATGGAGAGCAGGGTATGCATGCACTGGGGATAACTGATAAAACAGGCAGCTGGCCGGGCACAGCGGATCATGAGGTCAGGAGATCGAGATCATCCTGGCCAACATGGTGAAACCCTGTCTCTACTAAAAATACAAAAAAATTAGCTGGGCGTGGTGGTGCGCACCTGTAATCCCAGCTACTTGGGAGGCTGAAGCGGGAGAATAGCTTCAACCAGGGAGTTGGAGGTTGCAGTGAACTGAGATCATGCCACTGCACTCCAGCCTGGGCGACAGAGCAAGACTCTGTCTCCAAAACAAAAAACCAACCAGACAGCTACCCCCGAGCAGAACATAAGAAAATCCTGCATTAGATCCTAAGTGGACAGTGTTTAATTACACTCACCGTGGAGGGAAAATTGTGGAGTCCAATTCTAGAATTACATCCGTAATTAACCTAAAAGTCATTTTCTTTTCTCTTTTTCTTTTTGGAAATGGAGTCTAGCTCTGTTGCCCAGGCTGGAGTCCATGGTGTGGTCTTGGCCCCTGTACAGAAGTGTGTAGGTGTGCGTGCACACACGTGAAACTTGAACACAAGACGTGCCAGTGTGGCTGTGTGTGTACACGTGGGTGCCTGTGTGTGTGCGTGTGGGTGTGCAGGAATGAGGGTGTGCACGCGAGTGACTGTGTGCACACGAGTATGTGTGGTCTCTGGGCCCCTGTGGTGGCCCCGTCCCTCGCCCACTCCAATACTCACAGGTTCTGCTGCCAGTCCTGGTAGGAGGCCGCCCCGCAGCACCGCAGCCCGAGCTGAACTTCGTCGATGAGGAAGCGCAGGTCTGGGTCGTCCTGGTAGTGGGTGATGGCCACTTGCAGGGTGTGCTCCAGGCTGTCTTGCAGAGGGCCCCAGAGGGCCACCACCAGTGCCCCCACCACGGCTTCGAGCACCAGGAAGGCAAGGATGCCACCGGAGAAGCCACGTAACAGGCAGGTGTTCTCACAGAGGGCGCCCAGGCAGCCAGCCAGGCTCAATGCACTGACTGCCAGCCCCCCAAGTGCCAGCCCCAGCATGGGGTCTGGGGGCAGGGGCCCCCCCAGATCACTTCTCAGAGACCCCTTGACGGCCAGGCCCCAGAGCCCGATGGCCAGGGCCAGCAGGCCCAGCAGGGTAAAGAGGAAATTGGACAGGAAAATCAGATACTTGATGCAGCTGCTCCCTGCAGAGAGGGAAGGGGCTGTGCCTTTCCCAGAGGTGGCCCTCAAGGCCTTGCGCTTGGTCCCCAAGGGACAGTAGCTGTAGTCCCAGCCCTCTGCCTGGTCCTCCCAGGGCACTGGACCTGGGCAGCCAGAGGTGGGTGGACTTCGCACAGAGAGGGGCACCTTCTGGCCTGCGGCGTCCTGCAGAGAGGAGAGGAATGGGGTGAGACCCCCTTCACTCACACTCTGTGACAATCGGAGAGGGGTCAGGGAAGAGCACGGTGGCAGAGCCTTGGAGGGATGGGAGAATGCTGGACAGTGGAGGGCAGAAATGGAGCTCAGAGACTCAGACAGCCAGGGGCAGAGGGCCCTCAGGCCTGTGTGGCTCAGCTGGGCGGCAGAAGGGACAATGAGGGTCCCAGGTCTGCTACCTACTGGTGTGTGGGACCCCACCTTTAGAACAGGGTGATAAGCAGCCCCTGCCAGGCTGGATGAAGACCGAACAGGGCAGTGATCAGTGAGTGCACCCACTCCCTCCTCCCTGTCCCAAGTATTGGTGGTGTGGCCTCCCTAGGTGGGTTGGGGCTCCCCCTGGCTTTCCTGCAGTGCAGGAATGTGGTGGTGAGGTCGCATCCCCAGAGTTTGAAACAGCATCTGTCTATACCAGTCTCTGTGCCTGCAGCGTGGACCTTGCACAGTCACAGAGGGGATTCCTCACCAGCCAAAGGGGCTGGCCCACGTGGCTGCCCTTTCCCTGCCCTCTGAAACCAGTGCCCATATCCCAGCACCCATTTATTCAGCCCCACCAACAGCCCACACTGAGTGTTGACACTGCACTGGGCCTTGCCCAACAGGCCCCCAAGACAGGAAGGAGGGTGCCTGGGAGCCCCAGGGAGACCACCTGTGGGTGGCAGGGCTTTCAGAGGGGACCCCCCACCCACCAACAAAAGAGGCCTGCTGGTCTCCTTCTGTGAGGGAAGAGGCAGCCCTGCAGGCGCCCAGTTCTGCCAGAGACAGAAGTTTTATTAAAGAGGAGAATAATAAGCCATGTCAGGGCTGGACGTGGTGGTTCACGCCTGTGATCCCAGCACTTTGGGAGGCTGAAGCAGGCAGATTGCCTGAGTTTGGGAGTTCGATACCAGCCTGACCAACACGGAGAAACCCTGTCTCTACTAAAAATACAAAAAAAACCCAACCAAACAAAAAAAATTAGCCAGGTGTGGTGGCAGGTGCCTGTAATCCTAGCTACTTGGGAGGCTGAGGCAGGAGAATCTCTTGAACCTGGGAGGTGGAGGTTGCATCACGCCATTGCACTCCAGCCTAGATGACAGAGTGAGACTGTCTCGATAAAATAAATAAATAACAATAAAAAACAAATAATAAAGAAAAAAAAAACAGTAAAAAGGATCCACGTCTGTGGCTGGGCAAGGATCCCATTCCAATCCAGTTTCACCGGGAAGCAGCTCAGTGCAGCAACAGGATGCTGGCTCACTGCAGCCTCAAACTTCTGGGCTCAAGCCATCCTTCCTCCTCAGCCTCCTGAGTAGCTCGGGACTGCAGGCACTGCAACCACATCCCGGTCATTCTCTTAATTTTTTTTTTTTTTTTTTTTAAAGAGTGGGTTTCACCATGTTGGTCAGGCTGGTCTTGAACTCCCAACCTCAGGTGATCCACCTGCCTTGGCCTCCAAAGTGCTTGGATTACAGGCATGAGCCACCACGCCCGGCCTCATTCTTTTAAATTACTTTTTGCAGGCCGGGTGCAGTAGCTCACACCTGTAATTCCAGCACTTTGGGCAGATCATGAGGTCAGGAGATCGAGACCATCCTGACCAACATGGTGAAACCCCATCTCTACTAAAAATACAAAAGTTAGCTGGATGCGATGGTGCATGCCTGGAATCCCAGCTCCTCAGGAGGCTGAGGCACGAGAATCACTTGAATCCAGGAAGTAGAGGTTGCAGTGAGCTGAGACTGCACCACTGCACTCTAGCCTGGCAACAGAGCAAGACTCTATCTCAAAAAAAAAAAAAAAAAAAATTTTTTTTAATTATTTTTATTTTTATTTTTTGAGACAGGGTTTCACCATGTTGGTCAGGCTGGTCAAACTCCTGACCTCAGCTGATCCGCCTGCCTTGGCCTCCCGAAGTGCTGGAATTACAGACGTGAGCCACCACGTCTAGCCAAAAATAATAGTAATTTTTTGTAGAGACAGGGTCTTGCTACATTGCCCAGGCTGGTCTTGAACTCCTGGGCTCAAGCAATTCTCCCTCCTCAGCCTTCCATAGTGCCGGGATTACAGGAGTGAGCCACTGCATCCACTCCCAAAGAAGGGTTATTTATCAGCCCCACAGACCTCAACAAGTCGCTAGAATCAAAAGGGCAGGCTGCCAGTGCCTGGTTGGCCAGACTGCGGCTGTTGGAGGCCAGGAGCCGTTGGAGGCTGGCTGCAAGGGACGTTTGCCTTCATCCCCTCCTGCACCCTGAGCCAGAGGTTGCTCCCAAGGCCCTCAGGGAGACCCAGCAGATCCCTTGACCAGAGGCCAGCATGGGGCCGAGAGTGCCATAGCAGTGGGGGAGCGGGAGGGGGCTGCTTAGAACCACCTCCCAACCTAATCTCTGCATTGAGGTGTGGGGTGGCACCAGGGGTGGGGGTGGGTATGAACCAGCCCAGGGACCTCCCTTGGGACCTCAGGGCTGGGGGCATCTCCAACCTCAGCCAAAGGCCGCTTGGCACTGCTCACCTGGGGCAGTAAGGGGCTCCTCTCCCCCTCCTCCATCCTTGACACTGGTACAGAAAGCCCCCCAGCACGGGCGCCGGGAGAGGCTCACTGGCTCCTCTGTGGCTGGGCTGCTAGGCCGGTCCTGCCTGTGGCCCTGGGCTGGTCTGTGAGTGGTGCAGCCCTGGGCATGAAATCGGGGGAGCTGCGAGCCCCGCCCAGATGCCAGAGTCACAGTTGAGTCATGTGAGGAATCACATTTTAGAGCTTAAGGCAGTCTCTGCTTATGGAGACACATTTCTCCCTAGCACTGGCTCTGTGGATCTCCTAAGCTTTGCGCAGGTGCGACTTGGGCAGGGATGTTTGGGTGCAGCCTTGTGGCTGTCACTGCAGGGCCCCTGTGTGGACTTGAGCTCGGCAGGGTCAGTAGCCACTCCATCAGCTCCCAACCAGGGAATCAGGCCCCTGCAAAAACCCCAAAATCAAGAGACCCATTGGCAGCCCCAGTGCCAATATATCCCCCGGGTTTGTTCACTGCAAGAATGAAACAGTGTTGGCTGGGCCACTGTACTCCAGCCTGGGTGACAGAGCAAGAACCTGTCTCAAAAAGGAAAAAAAAAATTAGCCAAGTGAAGTGGCATGCACCTGTAATCCCAGCTACTCAGGAGCTACTGCAGTGAGCTGAGATCGTGCCACTGCACTCCAGCCTGGGTGACGGGAGTGAGACCCCAGTCTCAAAAAAAAGAGAAAAAGACAAAAATAAATAAATAAATAAAAAGGAGAAACCACATCTATTGACAACTTGATCGGGATTCTAGTTCTAGGACTGTTAGAAAGTAATTCCAGGCCGGGCGCAGTGGCTCAAGCCTGTAATCCCAGCACTTTGGGAGGCCGAGGCGGGTGGATCACGAGGTCGAGAGATCGAGACCATCCTGGTCAACAAGGTGAAACCCCGTCTCTACTAAAAATACAAAAAGTTAGCTGGGCATGGTGGTGCGTGCCTGTAATCCCAGCTACTTAGGAGGTTGAGGCAGGAGAATTGCCTGAGCCCAGGAGGCGGAGGTTGCGGTGAGCCGAGATTGCGCCATTGCACTCCAGCCTGGGTAACAAGAGCGAAACTCCGTCTCAAAAAAAAAAAAAAAAAAGAAAGTAATTCCAAACCGGCCAGGCGCGGTGGCTCACGCCTGTAATCCCAACACTTTGGGAGGCCAAGGCGGGTGGATCACAAGGTCAGGAGTTCAAGAACAGCCTGACAAACATGGTGAAACCCTGTCCCTACTAAAAATACAAAAATTAGCTGGGCGTGGTGGTGCACACCTGTAATCCCAGCTACTCAGGAGACTGAGGCAGGAGAATTGCCTAAACTTGGGAGTCAGAGGTTGCAGTGAGATCATACCACTGCACTGCAGCCTGGGCAACAGAGTGAGACTTTGTCTCCTAAAAAAAAAAAAAGAAGAAAGTAATTCCAAACCACCAGTCGATTACGGTTAAACCGCCTTTGCAAAAATTATAACTGAGACAATTATTACAGTTAAAGGGATAGGACTTAGCTGACTCCATCTTGCTTCTTTTTTTTTTTTTTTTTTTTTTTTTTTTTGAGACGGAGTTTCGCTCTTGTTACCCAGGCTGGAGTGCAATGGCACGATCTCGGCTCACCGCAACCTCCGCCTCCTGGGCTCAGGAAATTCTCCTGCCTCAGCCTCCTGAGTAGCTGGGATTACAGGCACGTGCCACCATGCCCAGCTAATTTTTTTGTATTTTTAGTAGAGACGGGGTTTCACCATGTTGACCAGGATGGTCTCGATCTCTCGACCTTGTGATCCACCCGCCTCGGCCTCCCAAAGTGCTGGGATTACAGGCTTGAGCCACCGCGCCCGGCCCATCTTGCTTCTAACCTTCAAGATATCCTTGTTCATTTCTGGGTATAGGCTGAAGTAACTTCGGGAAGCATTTAGTTTATAGTTTAGCTTTGAAGCAAAGATGACAACAGCCCTTTTGCAAAACAAACTCCCTTCCTACCTGGGGACAAGACTGCCTTTTCAGGATTAACAGATTAGCCACAAGATTATAAATTATGATTTAGGAGTTATGCAGCTGGAAGCTACAAGATTCTTTTTTTTTTTTTTTTTTTTTTTAAGGATGGGGTTTCACCATGATAGCCAGGCTGGTCTTGAACTCCTGACCTCAGGTGATCCACCCACCTTGGCCTCCCAAAGTGCTAGGATTACAGGCGTGAGCCACTGCGCCTGGCGAGGCTACAAGATTCTAAGTCTCCCAAATTGCTCCTCAGGGTAACATCTCCATTATAAAACAGATCAGCTCTGAAGATATTTTGCAGACCCTGCACTCCATGGTTCAGGTGGCACCACCCAGATGGATAAACTGGCTCATCTGGTCTGTGGCCTCTGACCCAGGAACTGACTCAGCCCAACAGGACAATTTTGACTCCCTGTCATTTCATCTCTGACCCAACCAATCAACACTCGCTACTTTCTGACCCCAGACCCACCAAATTATCCTTTAAAACTCGGATCCCTGGCTGGGCCTGGTGGCTCACACCTGTAATCCCAACACTTCAAAAGGCCAAGGTGGGCAGATCACCTGAGGTTGGGTGTTGGAGACCAGCCTGACCAACATGGAGAAACCCCATCTCTACTAAAAATACAAAATTATCTGGGCGTGGTGGCTGTCGCCTGTATTTCCAGCTACTTGGGAGGCTGAGGCAGGAGAATTGCTTGAACTCGGGAGGCAGAGGTTTTGGTGAGTTGAGATCACACCGTTGCACTCCAGCCTGGGCAACAAGAGCGAAACCGTCTCAAAGAAAAACGAAAAACAAAAACCAAAAAACAAAACTCCAATCCTTGAATTCTTGAGGATACTGATTTTTTTGAGTAGTAATAAACCCCGGTCCCTGGTAACCTGAACAGCTGGCTCTAGGTGAATTGAACTTTCTCTATTGCAATTTGCCTGTCTTGATAAAGTCTAGGCAGTGGGCAGGGACCACTGGGCAGTTACAATGGCAGTCTGAGCAAAGTAATACAATTACTAAGATAACCTAATCAATTAATAAATACAATTACTGACATAATTTAATCAATTAATATAATTTAACATAGTTAAAAAGAACTGTCAAATTGTGATGTTGTGAAATATGTATATATTTGGTCTTCCAGTTTCCCGGCATACAGCTCCTAAAATCCTTAGAATCTGTGAAGTGGTGTCTTTTTTCTGTTGTTTGTTTGTTTGTTTTTTGTTTTTTGAGATGAAGTCTCACTCTGTTGCCTGGGCTACTGGGCTAGAGTGCAGTGGCACCATCTTGGCTCACGGCAGCCTTGACCTCCTGATCTCAGGTGATTCTCTTACCTCACTACCTCAGCTTCCCGAGTAGCTGGGATTATCGGCATGAGCCACTTCACCAAGCTAATTTTTTTTTTTTTTCCTTTTTTGAGATGGAGACAGTCTTGCTCTGTTGCCCAGGCTGGAGAACAGTGACCCCATCTCCACTCACTGCAACCTCTGCCTCACAACTGATTCTCCTGCCTCAGACTCCTGAGAATCTGGGAACACAGGCACGCAAGACCACATCTGGGTAATTTTTGTATTTTTAGTAGAGACAGGTTTTACCATGTTGGCCAAGCTGGTCTCGAATTCCTGACCTCAGATGATCCACCTGCCTCCGCCTCGCAAAGTGCTGAGATTACAGGCGTGAGCCACCGCGCCCGGCCCTAAATTTGTGTTTTTAGTAGAGACGGGTTTCACCATGCTGGCCCGCCGGGTCTCGAACTTCTGGCCTCAGGTAATCCGTCCACTTCTGCTTCCCAAAGTGCTGGAATTACAGCCGTAAGCCACCGCGCCCGGCCTGAAATGCAGTTTAAATTCATTTGTTTTTCTCATGCTAAATTTAAAAAAGACTTAAAAAAAAAAAAAAATAGCCGGGCGCGGTGGCTCAAGCCTGTAATCCCAGCACTTTGGGAGGCCGAGGCGGGTGGATCACGAGGTCAAGAGATCGAGACCATCCTGGTCAACATGGTGAAACCCCGTCTCTACTAAAAATACAAAAAACTAGCTGGGCATGGTGGCACGTGCCTGTAATCCCAGCTACTCAGGAGGCTGAGACAGGAGAATTGCCTGACCCAGGAGGCGGAGGTTGCGGTGAGCCGAGATCGCGCCATTGCACTCCAGCCTGGGTAACAAGAGCGAAACTCCGTCTCAAAAAAAAAAAAAAAAAAATAACGAAGGTGTGGTCCTGTCTTCCCGAAGCGGTTTCTCTCCCCGCCCGTGCAGGGAGAGAAGTTTGGAACGCGATTTCGCCAGCCACGATTCGCCGTAACGCGCCGCGGCGGCCGTTCCTGGGTGGGGTTTCGGAGGCTCGTCTTCGCCGCCTTTCTGGGCTTTTCTCTGCAGCTCGGGCTTCCGGGGCCGCGCCGGGGCCGCGGACCGGGCGCTGCTCCAGAACTCGCCTCCTCGCGCGGCCGGGAGGGGAGGCGGCTCCGCGGCGCCGTCCTGCGCATGCGTCGGGCCGTTGGAGGGGCCGGAACCCGGTTTCCCGGCCGCGCGCCGCGGGGAGAGTCTTGAGCGAGGCACCCGGACGTCGGCGGCTGGCGGAGCCGGGCGGGCGAAGCTGGAGCGGCGGTGGCGGCGGCGCAGGGAGGCCGGCGCCGGGGCTGAGGCCGCGGCCGGGTCTGCGAGGCCCTCGGGGCGGCAGGCGGCGGCGGCCCGGGACTCGAGCCCGGAGGCGGGAGCGGCCGCCATGGCCGAGAGCATCGTGAGTGCGGCGGCCGGGCGGGAGCGGGGACGCCGGGATGAGGCAGCAGATTTGCCGGCCGCGGCCTGTGGGGGAGGCGGGCCTGCCGGCCCCGCGGCCGGGTCCCTTTCCCCTTTCTCGCCCGGGCTTCCTCGGCAGAGGCCGGGCCCGCCTCGGCTGCTTCCTGACCCCGTCCCTTCCCGGAGGACTCGCGACCCCGGCTCCCCGCCCAGGGCAGGGAGAGGCCGAGCCGTTCGGCGGGGAGGGCGGACTGTGCCGGAGAGAAGCCGCCCTCCCGCCGCGCCCGCCTCCCGGCTCCGGGAGACCTCCCGGTCCGGTTCCCGGGGCTCGCAGCCCGCCGTGCCCCCCGAGAGCCAGGGCCGCTTCGGACCGCGATCTCCCTCCGGTTCTCTTCCGCCGCTCTC